ACCACATCGCTTTCCACAGTGGTTGCACCATTTTACACTCCCACCAACAGTGAATAAGGGTTCCGGTCTCTCCACAACCTTGCCAGCATTTGTTGCTTGCTTCTCTGTTAAATTTTGCTAGTCTTACTGGGGTGAGATGATATCTCATAGTTGTCTTGATTTGCATCTCTCTCAGAGCTAGGGATTTCAAACATTTCTTCATGTGCTTGTTGACCATCTGAATGTCTTCCTCGGTGAAGTGTCTGTTCATATCCTGTGCCCATTTTTCAACTGGATTATTTACCTTTATTTTGTTGTGGTGCTCGAGTATTTTATAAATTCTAGATACAACTTTTTCCCAGTCTGTGGCTTCCCTTTTTACCCTGTTAGAGAAGTTTCTGGATGCTTCTACATCTGGGAATCCTCTTTGTGCGTGCTCTTGTCTTCAAAAGTGGGGAGAAAGGAGTTCAGCCAGCAGAGAAACCTTGGAAAAGAAGTGTGAGGGGGTGTCACTTTTGAGGGGTAGGGTAGAGGGGGAGCAACCTTGTCAAATGAAACTTAATTACCTCCATGGGAAGGTTATATTCTTGGGGAGAAAGAAAAATAGCCAGAATGTCTTCTACACTGGCCTTGCTCAGTTGTTAGCAGGTATGGAGAAGAGACCATATGCACACACAGACCATCACCCAGCCAGCTAACGCCCAGTGCTGGGTATCACTATCAAGGCTTCCTAAAAGGACTTACTTTCCTTCTGGCAGCAGACCTATGGATACTTCTTGATATTGCACGAAAAGGGTTTAAAAACAACAATAAAGCACAGACAAATCTATAGGGTGGAGCCAGCGCCCCAGCCCTGTTACTAGTGTTATTCACAGACTGCTCCTTCTCAAATCAGAGAGGCTAGATCTTTTCCTGTGACCCCAATCCTGTCCACACCCCCTTGAAACGGGTGGCCTTCAGTGTACACATTTGGGGCTGGCTGCTGGGTCCTTTTAGCTCCCAGGGGCTGCAGAAAACTGGATGGAGGAGTGGGGGACCAAGGAGAGGGGCCACTCCTTCCCCCTGATATACACGCTTGGACCAGACACAGAGCATAAAAAGAGTCGTGAGTCCTTAGACGTGGCACTGTCCCCCCCCTTTTTTTAACATGCAATCCATATCAAAGACTGTGGTTCTTGATCTTCTACAGCAAGCGTTTCACATCCTCCTCATTTTTGCAGGCCAAGTTATGTCATCTACATAATGCAGGTTGTTGATGATTCTTCCTCCAATGCTCATGTCACATTCTTCTTCAGAGTCCAGCTTTGTGAATTATTTGCTCAGCATACAGATTGAATAGGTATGGAGAAAGGATATACCCTTTCTATTTTAAACAATGCAGAGCTCTCTTGCTCAGTTCAGACAACAGCCTCTTGGTCTAGGTTTAGATTTCATATTAGCATAATTAAGTATTATGGGATTCCCATTCTTCTCAATGTTAGCTATAGTTTGCTGTGATCCACACTATTATAAATAGAAATTCTTCTGGTATTCTCTGCTTTCAGCCAGGATCCATCTGACATCAGCAATGATATCCCCAATGCCATGGCTTCTTCTAAAGCCAGCTTGAACTTCTGGTAGTTCCTTTTCAATGTACTGTTCTATCCATTTTTGCGTAATCTTCAACAATATTTTGCTTGTGTAGTAATGATATTGTTTGATAATTTCCACTTTCTGTTGGATCACCTTTCTTGGGAATAGGAACAAATATGGATCTCTTCCAGTCAGTTGGCCAGGTAGCTGTCTTCCAAATTTTCTGACATAAACTGATAAGCACATCCATAGCTGCATCTATTACTTGAAACATGCCAATTGATGTTTTATCAATTCCTGTGGCCTTGGTTTTTGCTAATGCCTTGGGTATAATGACTTGGCACATAAACTACTTGGAAATCCACCAGTCACATAGTCCCTCCCGGCCACAGTGTTCAGACTTCACACAGAAGGACCTTAATAAGATTTTAGAGAATGAATAAATTGATGAACAGACCCAGCAGCCCACCCTGTTTTGGGTTTCCTTAGTCTTCGTCATATTTTAGACTTTCTGAGTACTGATGTTCTAGTCACTGATTGGTGGCTCAGACCCACCCAGCATTGTAAGGCCGGGGGATCGACATCTGAGAGGTCATGGCCTTGAAAACCTTGTGGAGCTGTTTTATTCTGCCTGTGTGTGTTCTCTGAGTTGGACTTGAGAGCAAGTGGATTTTTTTTAATTTTTTGTCTTGTCAATTTATTTGCATTTCCCCTTTATTAAAATTAAAATAATTAAAATTATTATACAAAGGAGGTCTATTATGAATTTTTATTTCTTACAGGAGGGAAGGTAAGGCACAGAAAGGTTTATAATTATGTGTTTAAGATAGTACATGGGCTTTGGTGTCTTAGGACCTTGTATGTTATACTACTAGCTGAAAGGTCAGTGGTTTGAATCCACCAGCAGCCCCTCATGGGAAAGACAGGCAATCTCAGGATTTACAGCCTCAAGAACCTGATGGAGGGCCACTATGAATCCGAATCCATTTGATGGCAGTGGTGGTAAGATAAGGAAAGACCACCATCATGGAGTCACATTGGACTTAGAATCTAGACAGTCAGGCTGTACAACTTTTGCTTTAACTAGTGTCCTGAGCTGCCTACTGCTGCTGCTATCGGGCTGTCCCCAATTCAGCCCATTCTCTCCAGGCCCTGGCCTCTGGTGGTGCTTACTGCAGAAATCCCTTTGTGTCAGGGTATCAATTAACATATGTCCCCTGTTACGTTTCAAGAAGAGATTTCTGGAGATAAAGTATTTTTTTTTTAGACTTCTTTTTTTGTTTTTTTTTTAAATTGTATTTTATTAATTTTAATTAATTTTGGATTTCCATTCATTCATTGTTGCACTTTTCTCCCTGCCCAGACCTCCCCCCCATTTGTGGAGATTCTTGTTGCCCCCTCTCATGCTACTCACCCAGGCTGCTTCCTGATTGAAGTATCTGCCATATGAACGGTCTTGGGTTTCTGGCCCCTCAGTTCTTCCTACAGTCTGCCTTACTTTCCTTTGCCAGCATTCATAGAGCCTCACATCGTCTTCTCTTTTAGACAGGCCTGGGTACAGGATAGTTTTTCACAGGGCCTGAACTGCACTAGAGAAGTGTGCTGTCAGAGACACCTCCAAAATGCTAAAGAGCAATGATGTCTGGAGACTAAGGTGCACCTGCTCCAGGCCATGGTCTTCTCAATTATCAAAAAGCTGGACAATGACTAAGGATGACTGAAGAAGAATTGATGCCTTTGAGTTATGCTAGAAAAGAGTATTGAACGTAGTATATAGACTGCTAAGAGAACAAGCAGATCTTAGAGAGGAAAAATCAAGTTTTTCCTTGAGGCTAGGATTTTGAAGCTCCGTCTCACATTCTTTGGACACATGACCAGGAAGGACCAGTCTTTAGAGATGGACATCATGCTTGGAAGGGTGGAGGGACAGCGCGGGAGAGGAAGACCCCGGATGAGATGGATTGACATGGTAATTTGGGTAATGGGGTAGGTGTGTCAGAGTCCATGAGACTGGCTTAGGACAGGGCAGGGTTCAGAGCGATTGTACATAGGGTTGCTGTGAGTCATAGGTGACTCAATGGCACATAACAACAACAACAGGCTTCAGGGGGACTAACACTTCAGGAGATTTTGTGGCAAAGTGTTTACACACATGGCTACTAACCGCAAGGTCAGAAGTTTGAACCTACCAGCTGTTCCTTGGAGAAGCATGTGGTTGTCTGCTTCTGTAAAGATTTGCAGCCTAGGCAATAATATGGGGCAGTCTCACTCTGTCCAGTAAGGTCTCTCTAGTCAGAATTGACTGTACAGCAACAGCAGCAAGGTGAGCTCTCAGTGTGTGTAGGAGGAGGACTTCGTGGCCAACAGGCGGGGTTTTGCTCAGAATGTGGGTGGACTTTCAGGCCCACGTTCTTAAGGGCTGAGAGGGAGGAAGGTGAACAGTCTCTTCTCTTGTGATTTATAGGCTCTAAAGCCCAGTAGAGGGTCAGCACTGAGTTGGTTTTGACCCTAAAGCACCATGACTGACTTTGTTGGAGGCTAATTTTTCAGGTGCCCAAGATGAGGACTCGGGGCCTACTGGGCTGGCGTGGATGAGGACGAGGGGCCTCCAGGCTGAGCTTGTCTTTGGTTGCCCTGTAACAAGGCAGAGACCCCACCCTGCCCAGGCTTTTGGGGCAGCATTCTGCAGAGTGCTTGCTCTGACCTCAGGGAGGCAGCACAGGACCACCCCTCTGAGTGCCCACTTCACCACCACCAGAGATTAGTCAACTCTGGACAGAAACACCCCCCCCCACCCCCGGATGAATACAGTGCATGCTTGGCTACCTTCCCGAAGTTCTCGTTCCCCCACCCCAGACCTCACCTTCTTTTATCATTATCTCCCTGGTCTTAGCCAAGAGTTTCTGAAATTTGCAACAACGGAGGCTATCCAGAGGACGGAGATCTTTGAGTACTGCCAGATGCTGGGCCGCCCCAGGTCCTTCATTCCTTCTTTCCAGGTGAGTGAAGGGCTGCCATCCGAGCAGCCTCAGGGACCTGGCAGAGAGCTAGGAGCTGCTGCTCTCCTGACACAGCAGATGTAAGTCAGAGGCTGCGCTTCCCCTCATCAGCCCCAAGAAGGGGAAGCTCCTGCATCCATCAGCCTCAGCGTGGGGAGTTCTTCATATGTCCCATAAACGCCTGCATTTTAACGTATGGAAGCAAAAGAGGTCTCCGAAGCCTGTCTGCTGGTGACTGCCCGCCTCTTTTTAAAATTTTTTTATAATAATTACATATTTTTATCGGTTTGCATACAATCATTTATATACATTGTGTTTCATGCATGTGCATTGTGTTTTATATAATCTTTCACTTACATTGTGTTATGCTGATGTGTATTGTGGGTTCCCCCCCTTACAATCATCTTACTAACAACTACATTTATGTAAGTATGTAAGCCAGCTACTTCGCACCTTGTGCTTTAACAGTCCCATTTTAGATAGCCAATTTCTGATTTGCCCATCCCAAGGGAACAAGCATATCCCTTTTGCTGAAGGATCTTTCTGACTTGTGAAAGCCATCCTGCCATCCTGGGGCCCAAGGGAGCCCTTGTGTTGCAATGGTTAAAGTGTTTTTCTACTAACTGAAAGGTCAGTGGTTCAAATCCATCAACTGCTCCTTGGGAGAATGATGAGATACTCTGCTTCCATAAAGATTTACAATCTTGGAGACTCTATGGGGCTGTTCTACTCTGTCTAAAAGGGTCATTGTACCTCCTAAAGATTAAATCCCTGTGTGCATCAGTAACATTTTTTAACAAAGTGAAAGGAAACCTACTGACTCGCAAAAAACATTTGGCAATACTATTTCAGACAAGGGTCTCATATCAAAAGCCTACAGAATCCTATGGGACCTCCAGAATAAAAACATAGATAATGCAATTACAAAATGGGTAAAAGACATGGAAAGACTTTTCACAAAGGAAGATGTTTGGATGGACACATGAAGAAATGCTCAAAATCACTGGCAATAAGAGAAACACACATCAAAACCACAATGAGATTCTATCTCACTCCAGTAGCAATGGCAAAGTTTAACAGGACAGCAAGTACTAAATGTTGGAGATGATGTAGTGAGATAGGAACCCTCATATATATTATTGGTGGGATTGTAAAATGGTACAACCACTCTGAAAGACAGTTTAGTGTTTCCTCAGAAAGCTGAACATAGAAATTCCATATGACCCATTTTTCACTGCTGGAATCAAGAAAATGAGAACTGAGCCACAACAGAGATTTGTGCACCAATATTCATAGCAGCGTTATTTACCATTGTAAGAACATGGAAACAATCCAAATGTCTAACCACAAATTGTATGGATTGAAAAATTATGGTACATTCACATGATGGAATACAATGCAGCACACGGGAGCAATGATTTTGAAAATCACTACTTATCTTGGAAAGGACTGGAGAGCATTATGCTAAGTGAACTAACTCAGTCCCGTAAGGACAAATACTATATAAGACCATTATTGTAGAAATAGATAAGAAGTAAAATGTATGTAAGGATCCATGGGGGGAGGGTAGGAGAAAGGGGTGAGGATAGGCAGGGGTGTGTGTGGTTAGTCATGTTGTTGTTGTTATGTGCCGCCTAGTTGCCTGCGACCCATAGCAACCCTATGTTTAGCAGCTCTGAACCCTGACCTGCCCAGAACCAGTCTCACTAATTCCGACACACCAAGCCCCATTTTCCTTGTTACTGTGTCAATCCATCTCATCCAGGATCTTCCTTTCCTGCACTGTCCCTTCACCCTTCCAAGCATGATGTCCTTCTTCAAGGACCAGTGTCTCCTGGCCACATGCTCATGTTCTCCTTCTCAGGCTTCAAAATTCTAGCCTCCAAGAAGAGACTTGTTTTCACCCTCTCTAAGACAGACATATTTGTTTTCTTGGCAGTCCATGGTATGTTCAAGACTCTTCTCCACCACGATAATTTAAAGGCATCAATTCTTCTTCTGTTATCCTCAGTCATTGTCTAACTCTCTGATGCATAACAAATAATTGCAAGGACCATGGCCTGGATTAGGTGCACTTTAGCTCAAGACTGACACTGTTGCTTTTTAGCACCCTTGAAAGGTCCCTAACAGCAGACTTTCCCCTTGCAATACATCTTTTAATTTCCTGGCTACTGGTGCCAAGAGGGTCACTATAAAGTTGAGATAGATTGAATGGCACCTGGAGTCTTTTGGAGGGGTGAGTGGCTACTGCTATTTTTTTTTTTAATTTTGTTTTTTTTTTAATCGCTTTGTTTTTTTTGGCCTGGTCATGACCTCTCACTCCTGGTCTGCTGTTCTTTTTGTGTTTCTCTTTCCAAACAGCTCTGCTTCTCCTCAGCTTCCACAGTCACCCTGCCTGGGAGTGAGAGCACCAACGCCTGGCACGGGGGACCTTTCACCCTGTCCTCTGAGTCCTCATGACTGAATTCCTTCTTCTTCTAACTCAGGAAACTCTTCTGTATCCTACTCTCAGGCCTCATGCTTCTTCCTTCTTTTTGGGGCCTTCACTTCTACAGGTAATGCCTGCACTGCAGGCTCTGCCCCCTCAGCTCCTCTGCTCCAGGCCCTCTGGTTGAGCACAGAACAGGTCTCATACAGCATTGTGTATCCTCATACCCTGTCTCCCTCACTGGTAGTTCTTGTTGACTGCGATAGTGGCCCTCAGTGGTCTTTTCTGTAAGGTACGTGCGAAGGAACTGGCACAAGGACTGTAACAATAAAGTAGTATCTGCCATAGAGGTTACGTCTTCCCACAGACTTCCAGGATGCTCTTGAATTAGACCCCCCATTTAGCATTTAGCTCATGCTGCTCTATGATTAAAGTACTCTAGAGAAATAATATGTTGTGTATCGGGCTACTAACCAGAAGATTGCTGGTTCAAATCTACCTGCTGCTCCACAGGAGAACAATGAGGCAGTCTGTTCCCGATAAGATTATAGCCTTAAAAATTCAGTGGAGGTCATCATGAAGTCAGAATCAATTTGATGACAACAGTGAGTGGCCTTGTATTATTATTATTATTTCTTCCATGTGCAGATATCTTCCTATATGAATGATCTTCTTTAGGGTGGAGATCTGTCCTAATGATTGTTATCTCTCTTATTGCCTGGTCTAAGTATTCAGCAAAAACAACACACAATCACACAATACAAAACCTACAACAAACATTCTATTAAGAATGAACTAATTATTCACCATTGCAAGAACATGGAAACTTGCCTAAATGTCCAACGACAACTGAATGGATTGAGAAATTATGGTTCATTCACACAATGGAATATTATGCAGCACCCAGGAGCAACAATTTAGAAAAATCCTACATAACTTGGGAGAGACTGGAGAGCTTTATACTGAGTGAACTAATGCAATCTCAGTAGGACATGTACCGCATAAGACCATTATTGTAAAAATAGAAGGATAACTAGTAAAACATGTATGGGATCCAAGGGGGCATGGGTGGGAGCAGAGTGGTCAGGATAGGTAGGGGTGAAACCACAGGGTTGCACAGTGGGTAGAGGGAGGGGGTGAAGGAAATGGGAAAGATCTGGTGAGGACCTGAAGAGACGTGGTAATGGTGGGCATAGTTTAATGGTGATTGATTTTATGAAACATAATGAACGGGAATGATTGTATGAGACACAACGTGAATGAAGAATAGTGTGAAACACAATGTATACAAACTTGGTAAGCAAACCAATATAAATTTTTTTAAAAAAATGAATTAACTACAATGAATAGAGAAATGACTCAAATACTGTCATCTCTTTTTTTAAGAGTTTTGTCAAAGGTCCATTTCCTCTAGCAAAGCCTCGCCTCTGGTGTCCAGGGTCACTGCCTCCCTCCACCCCTTCTCCCACCTCCCTGTTGTTTTGCTTATGTTTGGGGCTGACAGCAAAAATATTAACTAGTTTCATTGAATGTGTACTAGGCATCTGACATAGTATTATTATGCTCTATGTGTATTATTTCTTCTTTTCTTCCAAATTGTGACTTTGGTGGAAGTTTATAGGACAAATTGGATTTCCGTTTGATAGTTCATACACATCTTATTTTGCGTTAACAAAATAAAATATGTGCCACTGATTGCAATCCTCACAAAGCTACAACACTTTTCCCCACTTCCGCTTTGAGTTTATAATTTGTCTTTGCTCATTTTTCCTATCCTCTGGCTTTCTAAACTTCTGTCTGACTCCAAAGCCCTCATCCTGAATTCCATCCTGTCACTCTTGTCTTATGAAAGTTTATTTCTGCCACTGGAACCCCACTGAGTCTCAAGTCCTCGTGTGGGTTCTGTGTGTCCCTCTTTCCTTCTCTGAGCCTGGTGCCCAGCACCACATCCACCAGGCCCGTCAGAGGTGGGGCCTGCCTAACAGGCGGTGAGCATGTGGCTGCATTTCCATGGTGACCAGGCTCTTTGAAGCCTGAGCTGATGCAATTCCCAGCCCTTTCTCCAGGCTGCAGGAACCTCTGGCTTTGGAGCTGTGCCCATCTAATGCCCCAGTGGCACAGGCCCTCCTTGATATTTGGATGCCAGAGTTAGTGGAAGCTGGCAGTCAGCTCACTTTGGAGAAGTCTTATCTATTTTTCGCCTTCTCTTTCCTTGCCTGAATGGACTAGTCATTGGACTTGTTCCTCTTCACAGGTGTACAAGCTCCTTTATGCCTCCCGTCTGGCTGATTATGGCCTCACGTCCCAGGCCTTGCATTACTGCGAAGCCATCAGCATGGCTCTCCTTAGCCAGAGAGAGAGCCGTCACCCTGTGCTATTAGTGGAACTCATCAAGGTGAGCGTCTCAAAGGGTTCTCTGCAGGTGTTTTATCTTCCACGTCCAGAGAAAGCCATTGTAAAGCCGCTTAGACTGCATTTCATCTTCTTTGAACGTGCTGTGGCATGGATGCCAGTTACGCGTGCCCAGATATGATAAGCAGAGACCTGACGTCACGGACCAAGGAGGATGCTCTGGGGATGAGGATTAGATGCAGGATGAAGACACTGTGCACTGTGAAAAATCCACTCCCCCATCTGCCTTTGGGGTGTAGCAAAACTGCACGTTACTGTGAACACTCCAATTATAAAAGCTGGGCTTGGAAAAGACAATTTAGTGATTAAACCAGGAAACTGCCCTTATTAAAATGCTTTATAATGCATCAACTATCTTATCACATGTTGAGCACATTTAAAAAATTTAAACAACAAAAACATAACCTATAGTTCTTGCAGAACAACAGACAGGTTAATGGTTGTTCCAACTAATTTAAGAAAAATTCAGGTGAGCTCTGGTGGCCTAGTGGCAAGAAGCTGCACTGCAATCCCAGAGGTGTGTGGTTCAAATTCACCAGATGCTCTGCTGGAGAAGGAGGAACAATCTCCTCCTGTACCTGTCAGATCCGATTTGACAGTACATACACAAATAATAATAATAATAATAATAATAATAATAATAATAATAATAATAATAATAATACATTCATTAACTGAAGAGTTGGGGGAAAAATAAGAAAATCAGCCTTCTCAATTTTTTGGTTTGTTTTAAGAGCGAACCCAGGCATTAGATCCTGAAAATTGAGCAACTCCTCTGCAGAGTAGTGAGCCCACTAACCATTTCTTCTCATCTTTCAATTGGTGGTACAATTGAAAGCACCAGTTGCTAATCCAAGGTTGGCAGTTTGAAACTACCATCTGCTTCATAGAGATATGATGAGGCTGTCTGTTCCCACAAAGATTTACAGCCTTAGAAACCCTATGGGTGAAGTTCTACTCTGCTCCACAGGCTTGTCATGATCCACACCAGCTCAACGGCAATGGGTTTGTTCCTTGGTGGTGGTTGTTGTTAAGTGTCGTCGAGTCATAGATGACTCATAGTGACCCTATGAACAAAAGACCTGAACACTTGTATAACTTTCATTGTTTCTCCAAGTTCATAGAGTTTCTGGAGGCAAGCTGTTTCACAAGTAGTTTTGCTTTGTTTTTTTAATTATTTGGTATCAAACAGCAAGATGGGTTAATTGTTCATGTATGCTACAATTTCCCGAGTTAACCATTTCTCAGTTACTCTGTAATTTGGGTTTGTATGTGAATTTAAGTTCTCCATTTCCTCTTCCCCCCCCACCCCCTGTGTCTTCTTTCCCCATGGCCTTCCCATGTCTGTGTCTTTCTCTCCCTTTCTGCCCACAACCCTCTTGGAAACCTGGCACAGCTAGCAGAAAAACTGAAGCTGTCAGACCCTCTGTTGTTGGAAAGACGTCGAGGAGACAGGGACCTGGAGCCGGATTGGCTGGTGCAGCTCCGGGGGCTGCAGGAGGAGCTGGCCATGACAGAGGTGGGTCTGGGTGGTCTTTGTGTCCCTGCTCCTCCCTCTCCTCTATGCAGAGTAGCCACTGACATTATCTACCCACCTACACTCCCCTATCCCCCCCACACCCCATATTCAGGCTACAGTGTCTCCTGGACACCCAGAAGTCTGTCTGAAAAAGTGTAGAAGTCAAAGCTCCCCATTCCACCAGTCACCTCATCTAGGTGATAGAATTCGCTCAGGAGACAGTAGATTCTTCCCTAAATCTCCCACCCACCATCCTCCTCTGAGGCCCCAGAAAATATGTTTCATGACCATCAAAGCCTCCGTGTCTCTGTTCGGAACAATGAATGACCGTGGACCAGTGTCACTTTCATGTAATGTAGGGCAATTGCTTCAAAGATTTCCCAGCTTTCCCCTTTGTTCTGACAATTTCAGGAGCTCCTAGTAGTGTTTGGAACAGTAATTGGGACAGGGCCTCCTCAGTTTTCACTTCCCTCCTCTCTTCTGAAGGGAGAAGGTGGAGCTTTGAAAGCAGGTGTGCACATTCAGAAGCCCCTAGTGTAGCTGCTTTCACAGTCCCTTCGTTCTGGAGAGGACAGAGGTCCTCATCTCAGGCCACCTCTGTCTGCACCTCAGAGAGCTGGCAGACAAGATGGCCGAAGTCTTGCTCCCTGCCTCTGTGGTTGTGGGGCCCCTGAGGGCATTGAAGCTCTGTTAGGTTGTAGTTTCCACGGAAAAGATCCTTTCCGCCTTATTTTCAACCTACCATGGTTTTTTGCCCTGTCACTTGAAAGGATTTTATTTCTATTTCAAATGTAGCAGAAGGTGCCAGAAGACCACGCTGATATGAATTCCACTCACTCACTTATTTCTGGAACCAGAGGAGCCACCACAGGTACTTGAACCGATGAACAGAGCGTGCTAACAGCAGACCCTCAGGATGCGATCAGAAAACATACAATGGTTAGATGACAGATCCTGTAATCCACTTGTAGACATTTTAACAAATGTTTAATTTGGGAGTAAAACAAATTGCTGCAGCAAGGGTCTTGGCACTCAAGAGGAGATTCTGGGGCTTTAATGTGAGAAAGAAATATGCCTCCTTTTATAACTGGCTCTGAGGAAGTGAGTGGAGGAAAGGGATGGGTTATGGGAAGTTGTCATTCCTTCGGAGCAGGGGCAAGTTTGAGTTTCCTTTATAATAGGTGCATGTGCTCTTGGCTGTACTTTGATGCCATTTCAAGGGAATCTGAGTTAGGAAGATACTAGTCATGGGAGGTTTTGTTGATAGAAGGAGTCCTGGGGTGCAGTGGTTAAGCCACATATATAATGTGATCCTGGGTTCATTTCCCACCTCCTCGTAGAAACCTTTTGCTGTAGTTTTGGGTCCAGTTCACACTAACCATGTATGTGTCAGAATAGAGCTATGTTTCATGCTGTTGTTGTTGTGTGCTGTCGAGTTGGGACAACTCACAGCTAACCCTCCAGAGGGCTTTCAGAGTCAGTAAATCACACAGGAATTGATTGCCTGTCTTTCTCTCATGGAGCTCCTGACAGATTTGTACCATGTGCCTTTTGTTTGACAGTAAAATTCCTTACCATTAGGCCATGAGAGCTCACAAAGGTTGGTTCTTTGGAGGTGGATAGCCAGGCTCTTCTTCCAAGGTACCCCTGGGTGGACTCAAACTTCTACTTTTTTTCCCGCTAGCAGATGAACATGTTAACTATTAGCACCATATTGGGACTTTGGACTTTATTTTATCAACCAAATTACAGAGACAGAATTAATGACAATTGGTGTCCCTCGCAGGAAAGACCCTCTTAGATTCTGCTGTTATGTGAAAACTCACTGCATTGTTCACTTGAGTTTTAAACCAGCAAGTTTCAAATACTTAAGTCACTTTGGAAATCCTTAGAGGAGAAAGAGTTTATCTGAAAAGAAAAGATGGTGTGTGTTTGGGTGGGATTATAATTTCTGTCCTCCAGCCCACACTGGTCGAAGGCGCAGAGCACCTGAGGGAGATGCTTTGTGAAGTTTATGTGCTGAGCAGTCAGAGGCGTGGCGATCGCTGCTGTGGCTTACTTGTCACCACATTAGGGAACCACATCCCGTGGCCTTGTGACTGACTGCCTTGCAAAGAGGACACAGGCCTAAATACTCTATCTGTGCACATGTCACATTTCAGGCCCCCATTTTTCCTTTGTCTTTATTTTATTTTTTAAAATATATTCTATGCATTACCTGGTCTCAGCTTGTGCCCACTTGGCTTCTGGCCCGCTTCTGCCGGCAGAGGCTCCCTCTGTCTCTCCCTGGCTCCTCCCAACCGGTTTAGGCTCTGCCTTGGGGCTTGTTACCTGGAGGCGTGTCA